ATAATCTCGCCTCATACTCTCCTCGGTTTCCCAAGTAGCATCACCTAGGGCTCCACCCTTCCAAATCACCTTCACGAGTCGGATGGTCTTATTGCGTAGTTGTTTGTCCTTAAAGTCCTCAATTCGCTCCGGTTCGGATCTAAAGGTCAAATTCTCCCTCAATTCTACTTCTTCAGGTTCAATAACATGGGAGGGATCCGGGTTGTACTTCTTCAACTGTGATACGTGGAACACATTATGGATACCTGCAATCTGTGGAGGTAATGCAACTCTATATGCAGTAGATCCAATTCGCTCCAAGATCTCATACGGGCCCATAAATCTAGGTGTCAACTTTTTGCCTTAATGGATCTACCAATGCCTGTCACTGGAGAAACCTTCAAAAATACATGATCTCCTACTTCAAACTCTAACGGCCGTCTCCTCTTATCAGCATAGCTCTTCTGTCGGCTCTGAGCGGTTAGCAATTTTTGCTTAATCATTGCAATCTTCTGGGTGGTTTGCTCTACAATTTCTGGACCAATGATACTCCTCTCACTTAATTCTGTCCAACACAAAGGCGATCTACACTTCCTTCCATACAAGGCCTCATAAGGCGCCATCCCAATACTAGAATGATAGCTGTTATTATAAGCAAATTCAGCTAATGGCAAATGATTATCCCAACTACCTGGTAGTTCAATGGCACAAGCTCTCAACATGTCCTCCAAAGTCTGGATCGTCCTCTCTGTTTGTCCATCTGTTTGGGGGTGGTATGCGGTGCTAAAACTCAGTCTGGTACCCATAGCCTTCTGTAGCGCACCCCAAAAGTTTGAAGTGAACCTTGGGTCACGATCTGACACAATTCTAGAGGGTATACCATGAAGTCTAACTATCTCCTTAATGTATATCTCAGCAAATTTCTCTAATGTAGAGGTAAACTTGATCGCCAAAAAGTGAGCTGATTTGGTGAGTCGGTCTACTATCACCCAAATAGCATCCTTACTCGAGGGTGTTCTTGGCAGTCCAGTGATGAAATCCATAGAAATATCATCCCATTTCCACTTTGGAATATCTAACGGTTGCAGTGTTCCAGCTGGCTTCTGATGTTCTATCTTTATCTTCTGACACGTTAAACATCTAGAAACAAATTCAGTTACATCTTTCTTCATTCCTGGCCACCACCAACCTCGCTTCAAATCATGGTACATTTTAGTTATACCGGGATGAATTGTATATTTGCTCCTATGAGCTTCTTCTAAAAGGATATTCCTCAATCTTGGATCATTAGGTACACAAACTCTACCTTTATACTTCATCACTGTGTCCTCAGAGATGGTAAAATTTGGGGCCTTACCTACCACTATCTCCTTCCTTATATTCCTTAAGTAGTCATCACTCTGCTGTGAGACTCTGAGATCTTCCCAGAATTTGCTCTCAAAGTCTGCTACCTGGAGTGCGGCCATTTGATGTTCAATCACATCCACTGGAACATCATGAAAACTGTTCCATAAATGATATTCATGAACCATCAAATGTGCAGCATGAATAGTCTTCCTACTTAAGGCGTCAGCTACCACGTTAGCCTTACCCGGATGGTAATGTAATTCAAAGTCATAATCCTTCAAAAATTCCATCCATCGTCGCTGCCTCATATTAAGCTCTTTCTGATCAAATAAATACTTCAGGCTCTTATGGTCACTGAAGATTTGAAACTTAGATCCATACAAGTAGTGTCTCCATATCTTCAGAGCAAACACAACTGCAGCCAACTCCAAGTCATGAGTAGGGTAGGGTAATTTTCCTCGTGTGGCCTCAACTGTCTAGAGGAATAGGCAACCACTCGGTCATTTGCATCAAAACACATCCTAAACCCTTTAAAGAAGCATCAGTGTACAGAGTGTACGGCACCACAGGGTTAGGAATAGTCAATACTGGAGTAGTGGTTAACCTCTTTTTCAATTCTTGGAAAGCAGCTTCACATTTGTCAGTCCAAATAAATGGGGCATCCTTCTTAGTCAGCTTAGTTAAGGGCATCGCAATTTGCAAAATCCCTTAATAAAGCGACGATAATAACCTGCTAAACCTAAAAAGCTTCGTATCTCTGTAACAGATTTTGGCTGTTCCCACTTCATCACTGCATCAATCTTGCTAGGATCCACCGCAACTCCGTCTCTGGACACAACATGGCCCAAAAACTTTACTTCTTGGAGCCAAAATTCACACTTGTTTAATTTGGCATAAAGCTTATGTTCCCTCAAAACTTGCAAGACGATTCTTAAATGTTCACCATGAGCCTCCTCATCCTTTGAATAAATAAGAATGTCATCAATAAACACTACTACAAACTTATCTAAATAGGGTCGAAAGATCCTATTCATGTAATCCATGAATACCGCAGGAGCATTCGTAAGTCCAAACGGCATCACCATGAATTCATAATGCCCATATCTCGTCCGAAATGCTGTCTTAGGTATATCCTCTGCTCTTACTCTCAATTGGTGGTACCCTGACCTTAAGTCAATCTTTGAGAAAACTGCGGATCCCACAAGCTGATCCAGCAAATCATCGATTCTCGGAAGTGGATATTTGTTCTTGATGGTTACTTTGTTCAATTGTCTATAATCAATGCACAATCGGAGGCTTCCGTCCTTCTTCTTTACAAAAAGGACTGGAGATCCCCAAGGTGAAACACTCGGTCTGATGAAACCCTTCTCAAGTAGCTCTTCAATTTGCTTTTTCAGTTCCGCTAACTCTGAAGGGGACATCCGATAAGGAGCCTTAGAAATTGGCCCTGTACCGGGTACCAATTCAATTGAGAACTCTACCTCGCGCTTTGGGGGTAAACCGGAGACTTCGTCTGGAAATACATCCGCAAATTCTTTGACAATTGGGATATTCTTCACGCCTTCATCAATCTCAGCTTGGATAGAGAAGAAAACCATGTAGGCCTGGCAACCCTTCTTCATACATCTATCAACTTGCGCCGCCGACAAGAAAACATGATCTTGAGTCTCGACTGGGGTCACCGACAAAGAAGATAAAGACACACTCCTCTCTCTACAATCTAGGATAGCACCATTTGCAGCCATCCAATTCATTCCCACAATTACATCCATACCTCTCAGTGGTAGGATAATTAAGTCCATAGTTGTTTTCCTATTTTTAAACTCGACTACTAGGTTAAGGCATGCCTTAGCAGTCCTTACAGATTCTCCCGCAGGAGTAGACACATTCATATCAAAAGGTAAAATACACACAGGCAAATCAAGGTTCTTTACACAAGTTTCAGAAATAAAAGAGTGTGTAGCACCCGAATCAAATAGTGCAACAATATCATGATGAAGGATTTTGATGTTACCTCTAATGGCATCTGGGGAGTTCATGGTGTCCTGAGTAAGAGCAAACACACGACCAGAGACAGTAGGATGTTGGGAAGGGTTCTTCATATTTGAGCCCTGGTTGTCCCCACAAAACTTTGCAATGTGACCGGGTTTCCCACAAATGTAACAGACCCAGCACTGTCCGAAATGACGACGCCCGCATTTAGTGCACTGTTGAGAGCTCGCTGTACTCGGGGCAGGGTTAGATACTGTTGGGCTCCTCTGTGACCCGTGATAACTACTATGATAGCTCCTCTGTCCTTGGCCCCTTTGAAATGGACCCTTCTGCCTTCCTTGGTTCCATGAGCTACTCGAACCCTGATGGTTTTTCTTCATAATGCCTCCGGTGGGTCGAGGGTAGGTTGGGGGTCTACTATATGAATAACCCCTCTTCTCTCTCTCAACCTCCTTCTTACTGCGAGCTACTACTTGTAGTTTTATGCACATTTCATCATAATCTCGGATATCTAGATGAGCCAATTGTTCCCTCAATTCTGGTCTAGCCTTCTCCAATAAGCGCTTAGCCTTCCATTCGGAATCATCCCTATACTGCAGGTACGTGGAGTATCTAGATAACTCCTGAAACTTAGCAATGAATGTGTCCTCATCGAGGTTCCCTTGCTTAAAGGCATGGAATTCCGCTTCCTTCTCAGACCTTAACTCTGATGGAAAGTAATGCCTGAATAATTTTTCCTTGAATTCCTCCCAGGTGAGTGTAGAATCATCCCTGGGCCCTGCTGTCTCCCACCAATCTCTTGCTCCTTTCACTAGGAGCACTAATGCTACTTGTACTTTTTGATTGCTGGTGCATGTGACTACTCGAAAGATGGATTCGAGTCTCTTCACCCATTCCTCTACCACGGATGGTTTAAGGTTACCATCAAACGTAGGAGGGTTAAACTTCCTAACAGTTTCCCACACATCAGTAATGGTCGGTGGGGCTCTCTGTTCCTCCTGCCTAATTTCCTTCCTTCTAGACTCATGATCTCTCGGAGTGGCAGGATGTGAGGAACTGCCTTCCCCCACATGACTCTCAACATGAGCCCTATCTCCATTTTCAGTTACCTTTTGCCTCTTTAGCTCCGTCAACTCTTGTTCGTATCCTTGAACCTTGTCTGTTAATGTTTTTACAAGCATTCTTAATTCCGCCAAGTCAGGCTCCTCATTTGGCAGTGGCGGTGGCAGGTGCTCATGTTGGAATCCTGAGTTACCACGAGTAACAGGCATTTTCTCTCCCCTCCTAAAGGATACAAGATATAAATAATAAAATTAGCCTAGCTATATCATGGCCATACAATGAGAAGCACCATAACAATGTATATTGCCAACCGACTATATGCTCTGATACCAATATGTAACACCCTCAAATTTACAAACCGATTTTTCGCAAATTATTAATTCAAGAAATCATTTTTTTTTCATTGAACCCTTATCATACCCTTATCATGGTAGAAAAATTTCTACCATGATACATCCAAGACAATATACCACAGGTCTTAAAATATCTCAAAAAGCAATTAGAACCATGAGGGACAGACATGATCCTCATGGCATGATATTTTTAAATCAGGTCATGAATCAAGAGGGACAGACATAATCCTCTTGGTCATATAAATACTTTTAATAAAAAGGATTAGAGTTTACATGCTCCATAGACAAGATATGTCCTAAGTTGGCACAAGATACATTGTATAATCCAAAATAAGAGGCAACGTAAAAGATGGTGTCTCATACACCATAATTACACCTCTGGTGCTTTCTCGGCCGGATTCGCTCCTGTAAAAATATTAACCACGGGGAATGAGACTTAAAAGTCCCAGTAACCAAAAATTAATATGTAATGATGCATGCGGATGTAACTAATCATGCGATTGCTAAGTGGGCACACAAAACATTTAACCGAACAATATTTTCAAACAAACCGAACAAGTATTTAATTGCATGACTGCACCTTATATCCTCCTTTCACCATGCTCGGACGCCAAATCACCCGGCCAAAGGTGAGTTGGACCAAGCGACACGCCACTCATTGGGTCCAATGAGGGCTTACCACGTGGTAATAATTAACCGAACAGAAATTCCCATTAACACCATACATTAAAATACCCTGACAAGTCATGCATCATTCAAATATCCAAACAGGAATATATCCGAACAATAATATCTCATCATGATAAATAAAAAATAAATTTTTAACCCACTTGGCAATAATTTCAAACAAGTATATACAGTATTTATTTTCAATAATTCATAATTTTTCCAAACAACAAAACAACACATAACCATTCACAAACACACTCATCACAACACATTAATAATGGTTACCTTGTGTCTTGAATAACAAGTTCCCCTTCACAACTCCTTTTTCACCACTATCTTTGTCAATATAATCTACATAATTATTTCACAATACTATATATTAATTTTACATTAAAATAAATAACTCTAATTTAAAGAGTTAGAAAGTCTTAAATCTATAGTCCATATTAACACTAATTTAAGATTTATGCCTCATTTAACTTCCCAAATTCTTTTCTAAAATTCTCGTACCCTAATGAACTATTTTTTTTATCCTCAATTCACTTCTAGTATCACAATTTCATCCTTCTACATTCTAAAAATTCGTCCAAAAATAAATTAAAAATTTTAGAATTATCCTGAAGCCTCAAATCACCTTTCTATAACCTCAAAAATACCTATTCATACTTAAATAAATATTTAATAATCATAGGTTTATCCCTACGTCTCAGATTCCACATAAATTCAACCATATAGATCTAGATTTTAACTCAAAAATTCTTAAACATGAGTTTCAACCTCAAGAAAATATTCTATAATATTTATTATATCCCTAAGAATTTTAACCTATATTTTTAATCCATCATATCATCAGATTAACTATCCTATAGAAAAATCCTAATCAAAATATTTACTCTATCCTACAAAATAATCATATCACTAGAAAGCTAATATTATTTAGAAAATAACTATAAAATTAATTTTGTAATTAAATAAATTTTTAAATGCTAATCTAAACAGGAAAGTTAGAACATACCTGAAGAAAAAGAAAATAATCCCCCCTTGCGAGAAAACGCCGAGCAACGTGAGAGGAAGAGAGAAAAATAATATAAAAATGGGATTGTGAGTCCCAAAATTATATTAAAAAAAAACTATAGGTTTGAATTTAATTATTCAAACCTTTGGGCCAAAAGTTGCAATTTTCTCTAAATTGCATCTTAGCCTCTCATGCTTCCTAATGCACACACCCCCTCCTTTTTATACATGAAGGCACCTCTTCTCTTCCCTCATCTAACCAATGTGGGACTTAGAAACAACAACCTTCCACCCCCTTTTTTTTTGTTCCTTCTACCTTCTCTTTTTTTTTTCAACACATACATAAAAAAAATATTTATGTATTATATCTTAACTAAATATTGCTTATGTGGTTTTAAATTTAAATTTTTAAATTCATAATTAAATACCTAACCATAATATTATTTCTAAATAACCTCAAATAATATAAATTCCTATTATTATCATTTTTTTTCTCAAAACCTAAATTCCACAATTTCTTTATTATATAAAAAATCAGGATGTTACACTTTGTGTGGGCACTTGAATCACCCTAATCAGGCATCGAACGCGAAAATGGTGCATTTTTTAAGTTCGTATTAAAATTTAAAATTTGACAACAGATTTTGATATGTACACCGCGACGCATATGTCAACAAAAGATAACATGCCGCGGTGCATGACATAGAGAGTGACGCTGAGGGTTTCTGTGCCACATGCCGCGGCGCATATGGCACTAACTACGGCATGTTGCCCTTGTTTTTGATTTATTTTGGTTGATTGGCACATGTCTCCTTGTTGGCTTTGAGATGCTATTGTATAATATTTTCGCTATGTACTATTTTAAATATATTAAATAGTTTCTATAAAGAAGTTCACAAAAGTTTTATATTGAGATCTTAAAGTTTTCAAATTAATTGTTTTGATTAGTAGTTTGTATGAAGGGTTGAATGATAATGTCATTAAGGGAATTATAAAAGGTAAAGGCAAAGAGAGATTTGATGCAAATGAAAGAGTAAGTTGTAGTGCTGCAAGAGGACTTGAGGAAACTTGAGGGAGTGGCGACTATAGTTGAAATGAAGAAAAGAGGGAGAGAATGGGGGAGGACAGAGGGAGGAGAGAAGGAGAGAAGAGAGAGGAGTAAGGAGATAAGAGAGAGTGTAGACTAGAGAGAGGAATTAGGTAAAAAATATAGTAAAAAATATAAATTAGATCAAACTATTATGTTTGATTATTTAAAAATATTTAAAAAATTCATATGAGCCTCACTAATGGATAAATAACACCAAGGAAATTGGGAAAGTAAAATTTTGAAATTAAAGGATAAAATTGATCCTTAATTGAATTTAAAACCATTTATGAATTTTTGCGTATATTTTAAGGGCAAAAATAACTCTTAACCCATTTTTATTTCATATATTATAAATTATTAATAATTTTGAAATATACAATTAATATCTTTATAGGGATAACTTGTTTACATGATCTTTTGGGATGAGTTTTTATTTTTTTATATTTATCGTTTAAATATAAATTATGAGTCCTTGAGTATAATTTTCCTTTTATTGAAACATGGAATTCTACTGTTATATCAGTATCAAATCATCATCATCATCATCATCATCATCATCAATTCTCTTAAATATTTGATACGAAGTTTAACAAGAGCGGTAATATTATGATAAAAAGCAAAGAAATTCAGATGCTGTATAGACACATAATGTGAAATCAAACAAAAGTTGCAGGCTAAGTTATGCCTTATGCGATGTCAGGAAGAGGATCTCTCCACTTTTTTTTCCTCCATTTTCCTCCACTTCTCCCATCTCCACCATTCATTAATTTTATCACTTAAAAAAATTATTTAGTAAAATAATTTGAATGATAGAGATGGAAGAAGTGGAGGGAAAAAAATGGAGAGACCCCTCCCCCTGCGACATCTGATGCTCTAATGCATGATTGTTTGGTGCATCATATTCCATATGCATGCCACAAAATGCCTCTTTGCCGCTATTTGTGACTAAATTAAAAATTCTAATTTTTTTCTTTGTTATTTTCACCTTTTTTATTATAATAAAAATAATAATAGCTTGTGACACTAAATTTAGATTTTAACAGTTAAAAAGTAAGAGAATCTTATGATGGGATTTATCAATTTTAAAATATTTATTTGATCTTATTTATAACTTACAGTGTAATTTTTTAAGTAATATTTAAAAAATATTTTTAAAATTATCTTTTATGAGATAAAAAAATAAAATGATATTACTTTTAAAATTATTATATAAGAGCATATTTAAAATTTTATACAATTTTATTCCTTTTATTTTTTCATTAATATTAATGAGATTGATAAAAATAACTTGTCAAAAAATAAAAGAAGTGGATATGATATGAGAGCAAGTTATAAATATCTTCGGTAATTGAGAACAAATAAATAAACTCTATCCTTTTCAAATAAAATTTTAGGCTCAAATATTGTCAATAAACAGCATTTTTTAATCTTACAATAAAAAACATTTTAAATAAATTAATATTATCAATAATAAAAATATCAATTATCAATGTCAATATCAACTAGATAAAGCCCATCAATTTTGGGAGCAAGTTCTCATCTGCTCCCCATCCTCCTGCTCCCACCTTGCCCCTCACAAGAGCAAGTGGAATTTTTTAAAAAAAAAAAATCATGGGAACAAGAAGGTGGGGCAAGAGATAATCCTACTTCTCAATTTTTACTCTAAAATTATAGGTTTTTTTTTACTAAAACTAACTATTAAATATTTTTCAATATAACTATCTAATTTAGTTCGCTTTGAGCATTGTCAATTTTAATTAAAAGGTACTTTTCAAAAATATTTTTTATATTTAAATATAGAGTCAGTAATTCAGGTAAGCTAGCTAATTTAGGTTAGCTCCAATATTTCAATTTATAAGAAAACTTATATAGTTGGATCTGACCGTAACACCTAACAAACTTGAATACGAAAGTTCATACTTAAGTGACCAGAGCTATCAATAATCACCTATTAATGTTGAAAATGGATAAGCTCATTAAATAAATTAAATACTTGGGGACCTCTAACCATCTTCTCTTCCAATCAGAGGGTGGGCATTGGGCAGATCCACCTACTTCGCAATTTTAGGGTTGCAAAACACATTGCATCATAAATATAATATGATCACAATCCTCCATATGAAATAACCAATTCCTTTGATACATACTTTTCACACTATGAATTCATACCGATCTATTTGTATTTAAAAGTTGAGATGAAGAAGATGAAACTTATAATAAGACAAGTACAATATTTACCTTGGGGTTTGGCACGAGTTTTCCTTCCTCGATTGCTTGCTTATTATTTTTATTAATTCATAAAGGACATTTTAGTCACGTGATCCAGTAATTTATTTCACTTCAGTCCCAATATCTTGCAATCAGTTTCCATAATTTATTAGGCTTGATTGATAAAGTGTACAATATGGTCCTTAAATAAAATTTTCTCTTAATTTTTTATAGGCATCCTTTCCAAAATTGACTATTAAAAAAAGGGAAAATATAGTCATTAGATCTTATAATTTAATCGAGTTTTTGTTTGAGTGAGTGATGTTTATTTTCCAAATCTCTATAATGTTAATTTTTTAGTATTTTTGACCCTTATAAGGATTAAAAATATTAAAAAAATTATAGGGACTAAATGTAAAAATTTAAAATTATAGAAATAAAAGAATTATGTTTTGCTTAAAAAAATCATCCTAACTCTAAATCTTCAAAATATTTTTACACTCATTTTAATAGTTTTTTAAGTAATATCCTTTGTAAGGATCACAACTGTAAAAATCAACTTATCTTTGTTCTTCTTTCTAAGTGAATCATAAAAAATCTCTAACTTGTCTTATTTTTTCATTAGTTATCCAATGTAATGACATTGTGAAAAATATTAACTTGCTTTCAATATTTTTTGAGTAGTCATTTGGTTCTTCTGTGAAATTTCAAGAATTATTTGTCCTTAAATGTAATTAAAGGTTTTTAAAAGAATCTCAAATATGATTCTTTTTTTATAAAAATTATTTCTTGCACGTGCAAAAGCCTTTTTTTTTTCCAAAGGAAAAAGAACAAACTTAGAATTAGGGGGGTTCAGCCTAGACCCGTCTCGATTGGCCTGGTATCGTCCCGATCATATCGGGACGGGTCTTGTCCGGCTCGAAAATAATCGGGACGAGACTTTATGGGACAGGACAGAAAAGGGGTTCGGGACAGGATGGGACAACGGGATTACCATCGGGACGTCCCATCCCGTCC